TGTGCGATTTTTGTATGAATGTAGGACAGAGTAATTATAAAATAATCTAACGTCAGGTACGGGTCATCAAGATGTAGTGATTCAAGGAAAAGCATGACTGAGACTGCGTAAGCTCGAAAGTAACTCGGATTGAAATGGTGAGATGAAGGCCTATACGCATGTGGGTCAGGATTCAAAGCTACCAGTCATACGTCGTCAGTCTCAGTATTCTGGTGAGATTGATCAACAACTTTCGTAAGCATGCGATTTCCTACGAATTGAGAGTCTCTACAGCAATGCTATCTAAATAAGTTCCTCTACACCAGTTAATCGTTGTATATATATAAAAGCATATGCGAAGAAAAGTTGGGTTTCGAGGAATCTCTTGTTTCCCAATTGTTGAGCTTACTTCCATTTCGAGTGAAAGTGTTGGGTGAAGAGATTTGCAGGTAGATTCCACCAGAAGACGACGGCGGATTCCTCTTGAACAGCTGTCGATTTGCTTTACTGGAAGATTCATGCTGACGTTGTTTCCGAGGCAATCTCCTTCGATTCCGGTGAAAAGGTGCTAAGCTTTGGTCTGTCATATGACGGACATCATCAGAGCGAGGTAACATCGTCACAACCAAATTCAAGCTAACGTGTCACGAAAACTCACCGGCAAATCCATAAAAAGTGGTATATATACTCTACATCTGGCCTCTTTGATTAAGTATAAAGTGATTTGATTAGTTATGGTCATATTTCAACTTCGATGCATGTGAGTGTGTCTGTAGAAGTTGACATATGACCTTAATTAACCAAATCACTTTATACTTGATCAAAGAGGCCAGATGTAGAGTATATATACCACCTTTTAGGGATTTGCCGGTGAGTTTTCTTGACTCGTCAGCTTGAATTTTGTTGTGACGATGTTACCTCGCTCTGATGATGTCCGACATATGACGGACGAAAGCTTAGAACCTTTTCACCGGAATCGAAGGAGATTGCCTCGGAAACAGCGTCAGCATGAATCTTCCAGCAAAGTCAATCGACAGCTGGTCAGGAGGAATCCGCCGTCGTCTTCTGGTGGAACCGACCTTCGAATCTCTTCACCC